ATCGCTTTTCCTGTATACAGATTGCCTGTATCGCTCACAGCACATATGTATTCGCCTCTCTTGTACAGTTCTTTCGCTGCCTGAAGATGCCGAGCTTCGGACGTAGTCTACGTAGAAAATTACGATACTGCGTGCGAGGTTAATGCACGCAGTGGAAATGTGTCAATATCTGTGACGGAATCAGCGCGATTGTGAGTCTATCCTGAATGACTAGGAAAGTTATACACCATGACCTACCATCCACATGAGATGGTCTGTAGTCCGTTCGTAATCGAGTCCCGCAATCACTCGCTTATCACTGATCGTTGTAGCCATATCAAAGTATCGAACTCAGCCTTTGAGGAGTGTGTCTACTCCCTCATCGAGGGACTTTCGATGAGATGCTCTGCCATGACCCTTTTCGCTAGCTAGTTCATTTATTTAGAGTCTCATATTCGAGCCGCGACTATCAGCCTTATAGAGTTATTGAACTTTCCTAGACGAGTGGAGCTGATCATCAGTTACTGATGTTCTCACCAGCGGAATTGTTTCCGTTAATCATGAAATTGTGCCCTTACTTGCAAAATTGACTCCCTTAATATATCGGATCACTATGTCTTTCTTGTTCGCTACAATGGAGCATTCATGTCAACCCGAGCGCCGAGTTTATATCTTCACAGTAAGGACCCTGCTAATGTATGTGAGGCCGCGGACATTGCGGATATACCAAATAGTTTAGTTGGTATAGAATCTCTCACCGTGCCTCTCACGTGCAAGGCTCACAATGTGAGCCTTGATCAGTTCTGTGAACTTTTACAGGAAACTCTATATCACAAGAACAGCATAAGGAGCTCCTGCGATACAATCGGCTCGATCCTAATGTCGACTATGTTCTCTCACGGTTATTTTCCAAAGAGAACCAAGGAGTCTCCCCGTCCTGCTGCGAACCGCGCAAACAGCATTGGTGGTCCCCGTATTCAACCTGTAGCGTCTTGGGGCTGGAGTGTGGTCCTTGCCAGTGATGAGTCTGGGGAAGATATACTTGGTGGGCGGAGGCTGCTGGAGACAGGTGCTGAACTATTCCTAATAAGGGTATTGAGATAACACTAGTATAACCGAGTTAGGATAGGTCCAGGATAGGACTGATCTCGTAACAGGTACACCGAAAAGATTTATGCCGCGGCTCAAGAACCACACAGCGATTCTGCGAACAGGAATAGTAAGATTTTCAAGAGATCACAAGGCACGGACAACACAGGCTCCACCGGAAGGCTCCGTCGCAGGGCAAAAAGCAAAAAAGTGCAAATTCACAACAATTTATATTTCCTTCGACTTCTGCTGTTGTGCTTGTGTATGCCCCATTATCTATTTGGGCACGGCAGAGCACGCCTTCATCATCAACCTCGTTAGAAGGCGAGACACGACAGTGGCAGTGCAAAGGTGGAATTATCGGCACAGTAATGCGATCATCAGCAGCAGGAGTTGTGCTGCGGCTGTTTCCCGCCGCATTCGGGTAGATGAGAGAAGTGTCGGTATGAGTGGCCATCAGTGCGGACTCGGTCATAGTCGATGTCTTTGTGTCGGGCTCCATCTTAGTCGTCGGCGGAGGAGTAGACGTCTGGCCATGTGTGGAGAGTTCCACGTGGACATGGAGTGAGTAGTGTACGCATGCAGTCTGCGATGGTGTGGCCGAAATCCCCACATTTACTGCATCGCTTGCTGAGCATGAAGACACTAGGAGAACGGCACACTCCAGAGCGATGACCGGTCTTATTGCAGCGATAACAGTTCCCTCTGCGAATTGGAGATGTAGCCATATTGTTGTTATCGATGTGAACCGCAGGGGTACCCATGGACACAGAGGATGCTCCTTCGTCGGTGGCCATCATGTTGCCAGGCACGTTCTGGGCATGTCTTCGCCTTTGGCTATTCCAATCGGTCAAGAGATTAGCCAACTTGTTGACGTTGATGACTTTTGGCCATACCGAACATGCCTGCTCTCGATGGCGCAGGATGAGTCCCTGGAGGAATAATTGTTTCACCTGGTAGGGGGTGTATTGGATACCGATCTCTACGCCTTCGTCGAAGAGCGCTTGAAGACGTTCAACGAAGCTTGCTGGGCTTTCAGTTTTGTCCATCTTCATGGCGTCAACTCTGGCAGCAAATTTACCGTCATTGTTGGTAGTCTTGTACCGGTTGCGTAGGAATTGGTCAGCTTCCTGTAGTTTTTGGACAGGGTCACCAGAAGACAGTCCAAGACGACGGATATGCTTGCTCAGCTGTTTGTACACTAAAGGATCTAGGCACTGAGTGAGATAGAGGTAGGTGTCAGTGACACCGTGTCACCGGCGTCCAAATGAAAGTCTGCCGCCGTCGACGAAATATCTGATAGAATGCAGATTATAGGTCGAGGATCTTGCTGGCCATGGTATTTGCCGCCCTCAGGAAGGGGAACCTTCGAGAGAGAATTTAAACCACGGTATGAGGCATTGTCGACGATTCTCTGGTGAGCTGGATGCCGAGGGCGTTCGTGTAGATGATCGCCGAGGGAAGAACGGCCGGCTTGGGAAACCATGTCCCCTGTAGAATGATGCTGACCAGAATGTATACGCCCATCACCCGGTACCGTCGGCAGCATGCTAGAACTCTTAGAGAAGGTAGGTGTAGGAGATGGACCAGTGAATGGAGCTGACGGATAGGCTTGCCTGGAGACTGCGGATATTGGCGTGAACCACCCTTCTTCCGTGTGCATACCACGATCAGCATCGGGAGCTGTTGGGGTTTGCCTCGCTGAGCGGAAGCGACGAAGGTGAACTTTCAAAACGAGGTCGGGGAGGTCGTTGTCGTCTGAGTACCAGAGATCGGCTACCTCCAGATTGTTGGCCACAAGGAACACACGGAGGGCCTCGAGCCCTACGTCATGGGTTGGCGGACTGAGGTCATCGTCGGCAGCGGCGTCGTTGTCAACGGTGCTCGGGTTCTCCACCAAAGTTGAGCGAGGGGGATCGCCAGACCCTTGGGCAGGCTCCTTGGACTTCTTGGAAACACGACTCGGAGGCATAGAGACGAAGGGGTTAATAACGGATGTTTTATGATCACTTCGAACGAATGAGGGCACGCATGCGCAAGGGCACGCAAGTACAAACCACGTCACCCGGGCGTGGCGCGGTCGATACATCCAAACCGCACGAACCGTCTAATAATGGAGAGAGTATGACTAATGACGAATAAGTAGACTGATGACGAGGAAATCCATGGAAGGAATGGAGTGCTCAGCTGCAATCAATGGTTCCATATTTCCTGTCTTGGTTTGAGCGAGGACTCAGATGCGATTTCGGCGGATGAATGGTTTTGCCAAGATTGTTTGGCAAAAAGGGGGCGAATAATGTGATGATGATTTCTCGAAGCTTGACAACTCTGCTAGAGTTGTCGCTTATTCAGACGAGGATTCGTGATTGATCCTGTCTACTTTTCTCTTTCGTATACTCATTATCAGACTTATTGAGACATAGTCAAGAACTTATGAGATTACAAGATATGTCTGTGACGCGTCCGATATTCGGTTCTGATCTGTGACGTTAATCGGGAAGTCCGTATTTTTGCAGCTCGGTACATTTCGAGTATCTTACGTACTTCAGGGGTTCTTATTTGGATCTTAATCTCCGGTCTATTCCGTCACTATTACTCCGATATGGATACGAGTCCTAGTAGAGAAAGCGATGTTGTGTTGCACGCGAGTCCGTCGTCGATAGCTTCCAATGAAGAGTCTACAGGGGAGGAAACCGTGTCGCTACACTCCTGCTACCTTTGTTGTTTGTGCGTTTGCGTCTGCGTGCCAACTTGCACGTGTACACAGCTGTGGTATCTGTTGATAAGTATTCATAGTTGACTTGATATCTTGCTCTCTTGCTCGTCTTTGTATAATCTATAGCTGACACCTTAACAGACTTTATAGCTGTACAGCAGTTATTTGAGCTGTATATACCCTATCGTCAGCAGCTCATCTGAATCTTGTGTTCCCCTAGTCCTTCAAGAGAACATCTGCATTGCAACATATCAGACTCATTGTAGCACGATCCACATTGTAGAGATCGGCACTGTAGCCATCTTGGCTCAAGTTCTGCCTTGTTGGGTTCAGTCAGTGTCCACCAACCCTCAAGCGAGCGGACTACCTGGCGTCAACAAGGGTAGTCTCAGATTCCCCCAAACTAGAGACGTCGACTCCCTCGTATACAACTGCCACTGTTAGGGTCCGGACATTTGTGACATATTGCGCGTTTTGTACTGAGATTGCTTGGCTGCATCACACGTTTTGGCGCATCGCCCGTGGCGGCTCGCCCCTCGTCCGTAGCTCACAAGGCATTCGTAGTAGGCCAAATCACGCTTCTTCCGCTGAAGCTAATATGATCTCGAGTTCATCGATTGGGATTCCCAACGTGGGCACCAAGGCATCGCTCAAAACTTCACAATCCTCTAGCGAGTATAAAATGTTAAAGTGAGCTCTTTTTACTGATATGTTATTCCCGTTTTTCAGTGGTACCCCCAGCAATACAGCTCAAGGCATAACAATTCTTTTACTTTTGGAAGACCGTCCAAAAATCCTTCATCACAGAGCAGCGTTTCGTCGTGATGATCTTTATGCCTGGGAGGCTCTGTCACTATTCTTGTGTCTGCCCGGTAGGATACTCGGGGTGATGTCGGAGTTGATTATCTCAAATCTCGTCGCCGCGACCTCGATTCCCTTGGAGTCAATCGACACAAGCCGTGCGCACTGAGTACTCAGTTGAGCCTGAGAAACTTAATCAACCGTATCGTTACGACGCAATGCAGCTGGCTTCATGACTCCACCAGTGATTTAGTGACGACTCAGTCGGCGACTGAGTTTCCGAGTCGATTTCTGGATGAATACAAATTCAGTCGTAGGATCGCTACTCAAAAACAGCCTGCGTTGCTCATTCGCATGGCTATAACCTCACTGGGCATACTCTACTCTGCAATGTAGAGGCTACATTCACTTTGCTTGCTCACTACTCTTCGAGTGAAGGAAGAAATAGTTTCTACGGAGAAGAGAGTCCCCAATATCGTGCCAATGTCTTCTCAATGCTGGAGTTCCAAGGTCCGTATTTCACTGAAAATTCGTCTATGCTCCTGATTTTCTATGACGTTCATGAATCAATGTGGAGTCACGGGAGGAGTTTCTGTTCCACGGACGTGCGCGATCGAGCTCCGCACACCCAGAAGGTGTGTGGAATTCCACCAAAGTGTGTGGAATGTCATATTGTACGGTTGGGCGATTCAGGAGATCAGAAAATCAGGAAGTATCCTAATTGTAAACCAAAACTCAAGGCCAAGATAATCTACGCTAGATCTTTTTTAGGCGACTCGCCTTCTCAGAACTCTCAGCGCAAGCGATAAAGCGTCTAGTTCGGAACTAGACGCTTTCTCGCTTGAGCTGAGAATGCTTCTCGCGAGGTTCAATTGATTTGGAGCCAAATAATGTGCGCAGCTTCTCTGACCTCCAAGTCTGAGCACAAGGGTCCGAGATTGTATTGGTCGAAGGAAACAAATTTGATTTTTTCTGATCCACGTTACCTGAAGGGCCTCGTTTCCATGAACCACCAAAACCGAGCCGTGCCCTGCATCATCGGTATGTAGAAGTCTTCCGGATAGCCGATCGGACCGACTATCGGGCTGACGAGGCACTGCCGTAGTTTATCTAACATGTCAGAGGGATAGTCATCGATATTTCGAGTCTAGTGCTGGGTCTGTCACATCAACGATTTGGAATCATTTTCCTCCTCCAATATTTGCTCGAATTCCTCGTAGAAAGACTGCAACCGATTCGTTCCATTCATGGTGTCATTGTGAGGTCGATTCGCAACTAAATCGGAATCATACGATCGAAACTAATCTCTGTATTCCACACGCCTTCACTTTCCATTTGCATCACTCTCCATCATTCATCGTTCCCTGATAGCAGACTTCAAATTAGATCAACAACGAGAGGCCGAGTGTGAGGAAGTATTCAGATTGAGAATGAGAGTTATTTATCAACTAATTGATCACCTCCGCGCTGATGGGGTCTCGAACTGCGTAGATGCGGGCATGTATCAGGTTAGAACTAATTCCACTAGGGCCGAGTTCATCAATTTATGTTCATGAATGACATTGTGTGGCTTCACACACTCGACACACTATGGGCGTCTTAAACGTGATCGATGTTGGGATGCGATTTATCATCCAGAAAGATCGTAATGTTAAAGTTTGATGTAAGAATGAACTGATATTCCGAGAATGGACGCGCGACGTTGACTCCTGCGCTGCAGAAGTAGGGAGGCACGTGGCAAAATATAGGTGACAGCCACACAAATGAGCTTGAATGAGCTCCGCGATAGCTGAGTGATGCGATGAGTCGCACAATTTGAGCTAGTGAAACTATTACAGCCTAGAATTCACAGGTGGTAATCTGACCAATCGTTTCACCGATGATATTCGTCTCTTGCTAGAGTAAAGGAGCATCCTGATACCATCTAGTGTGGTATTCATAGTGACTGAGCACGTGCGGATTTTCTTTAGCTGAGCCACTGCGATGTAGGTCTTCCCTCTTCACTCTCTAGCTACTCCACCACCTGTCCTCATGTGATTATCAGATTCTGATATTCAACTAATGACGTGGTGTCGAGCACTAGAGTGTAGAAGGTGGAACATTCTTCACTGGATGCTGTTGGGGAGTTAACTCGCATGTGTTGTTCCTCTGAGAAACAGAACAGTTGTTTCTCATGATGCGTGAGAAACTTTCTCACGCATCGTGAGGATTGAATTGAAGCTTCAGATCTGTAGTACAGATTCTGTACAATAACAGCTCCATAGCGAACATTAAGTTAACTTCGACTCAACAT